GTTCATCCTCCATATGGGTCTTATTCCCAAAGTAATCCCTCTTATGTTTTTGTGGAGGATGGAAAAACGTGTAAAACCGCAAGGGCTGTCCACGTGAGCAAAATTGTCAATTTTTAGAAAACAAAACTGGGAGAAATCTATAACCTTCATCATCTCTTGTGAGAAAAGCTAACAATTTCCCACTAGCAAAAAGGCGGAAAAACAAAACGTTAGTTTACCCTGAAAAATAACACGAACTAAAAGAAAAAAATCGAATGTTAAAGGAAAATCTCCTAATGTCGACCCTCTTGAGTAGTCCAGTAGTTGTTAAGATTGTTGTTAATATTTCAATACTCTTCACAGGGCACTCGCAATGGATGGAGTCGATATCAGTGTGACCGGGCATTCAAACGCGACATGGACAGGCTGTGCCAGAGCCTGAACTGGGTCCAAAAGCCCTTCTGTAGGGCGGCTGCTCTGGATTATTACAACGCAGTTCGTCTCTTTGGTTGGAATTACTACGATAACCCTTCCCTGTGGTGGTGCAAATACTGCCCAAAGAGCAATGGTAATCCCTACAGCGCCCTTGGACGTTAGAGAGACACAAGCACGAAGATGAAGATATTCCAAACAACAGAGGCATTCTTAGAGTAGAAAAACTGACATGTAATCAATGGTAGAGCCACTAGCTGATAATAAAGCTGTCGACAAATTCAATTAAATGTTGTGTTGTAAATGAACGAAAGGGTAGCCAGTGAAACAACGAAAACACTGAGCTTGGATTGTTGTTACCAAAACGTTAACACGACTTTCCGCGATGCGAAACTTATTTCTCCCAAACTAATCGACACAAGTTCATTCGTGCAGTAGATGGGAATCAAAACTATCCCATCTTAATTTTTCCATGCTTGAGGACATCATTGGACACAAGCCAATAGTGTTTAGGTCGAGAAGAAGACGAAGAATCAATGCAAAAACTATGTAAAGATGTTTTGAGGAAGTTATGTTTTGAAAGATTGCTACGTTATTTCAAGTGTTTTAAAGATTACTTAAAACTTGTCATACCGTTGGAAAAAAAGGCCGCTTGTGACGTTCAGTGTCAAACAATGGAGGAAACTGTTGAAGCATTTAATAGGCATTTCCATCAATACCTCTGAGACGAAAACTGCCATACGTATCGATAACATTGTTTTATTATTATTATTTTTTCTTTCTCCACTCGTTTTTACTGACCAGACTTTTCAATATATCCTTCCCTTCCCGGATGAAATGGCAGTCCAACACAGATTCGTTTCCAGCAATTCCTTAAGTGGCTCCTAAACAACGAAATTCCAACTTCTTCCCTGACTCTTAAAATGGTATCTATTCTCTTCTACCTCAAAGTCTTCGAGTTACGTCAGAGTACAAATAACCGATACTCTTTTATACAACTGGCGTAGGCTTATCTCATCAGATGGTCAGAAATGTAGCAGCTCTAGTAAGAAGTTCCATTTAGACTGTCTTCCTTTGGAATGATCCGTATCTGGATCCAAGATTACTCGGATCATCAGGCATCAAAGGAGCCGATGAATCCAGGCTCTGGGTAAGGATTCGTTGATTAGTTCATTGAAGCACCATGATCTGAGGGTTCTTGGATTATTAATTCTGATTGAGATCATTCATTCCAAGGCAATTAAAGCATCCTGGCTCCTACTCAGTAGAGCCTGCACCAGACTCCACCAGGGGGCTTTCACTTACTTTTAAAATTCTGAAAATTGACGGGGTGGTTCATGTCTATCCGGTGACAGATCAGTCAGCGACCCCTCCCGCTACAAAGTCCTAGCATCTCATCATGCCTACCACAATTCGATAGTAGGAAATGGGGCTCACCGAGCTCGTTTTTGAGTTATAAGCGCTGGAAGCTATAAAATTAAAGGTGTTTTTAACTGGTCATCCTATTGCTAGCTTAACTTATTGTGCCACGAAATTGAAACGAACATGTTCACCAATGATTGGGCAGTTTTTGATACCACTGATTGTGACATAAACCGATACAGTGTGCTTATAATGACCATCAAAATCTATGTCTTGGAAAAAGTGCTGGAAACTGTTTTGAGCCACCTTAAGTTTACGTGAAGTAGTAGTTTTGTCCAAAATATTTCGTTACCCGTTCGCTGCCTTAATTTTCGTGAAACACGCCCACGTCACCAGTATGGTCATCTTTGACTCTAACCTCACTTCTCTCTCTCAAATGATCAAAAACTGGCACTCAAAGAAACTCATCTAATTTAGCACGCTGAGGCATAGAAAATATCTCCATGCGTGAAGAGCACTAGTTTAAACTCGATGGGTTGAGACCTCAACGCTAGTATGCTATTCGACACCTTGACTGACTTCTTTCAATATTCAACAGGATTTCACATAAAGTCCAGCATTAGGAATTTGGTTTGTATACACCGGCTTTTCGTTTTCACGTGGACGGAAAACATTTTGAAACCGGAGCTTCACGAAAACGATAGCGTTATGTGATTTCCCTGACCGAGTTTCCTCAACCACAAATCCAAAATGACCGGTGATTGTTGCGTTTTCAAATTCCCCCAGCGTAGTGTGGACGGCAAACATTAATTGCGTTTTCAGAGTGAAACTTCCGTTTTTCCGTTTTTCCGTTTTCCCGTTTTCGAGACCAGTAAATTAATCTCACAACCTTTTTTTCTGTGACGATTTAATTTCTGGACATTTGAATTTGTTACTGTTTTGACATTATAAACTTCCTTGACGATTTTTTGGCAAATTGCGTTTTAAGAAAGAACAAAAAGCTGCATGTGTAATTTATGCAAATTATCTACATTTACCATTATATTTTACCTGGAATTTATATGTTGGTAAGGATCACTTTAAGCGTTAATTACTTGGCGTAGCCTGATTTCTGTTGCAAATTTTTATAACTAAACAAAACACAAGCAAAGCGCCATTTTGAAATTATGCAAATGAATGGCGATTGATTTTAAAATATTACCGTTTCCCCTTTGTAATCACTTGGGCTATATGAAGATGTTATTGGCTGTTATAAAATTTTTCTGTTGCAATTTGTCCAAGGTCTAAGCACAAAGTGGCCGGACTTTAGTGCTAATTTGACAACTGCGCATCTTGAGAAATCAATCTGCAAGGTTTACAAACTATTATACACTTAGCCTTTTCTCTTTTTCGTGACATGTATATCTGTATATGAGAAATACTAATATATCAACTTGGTTTGTTGCTTGTCAAATAATTACCTGAAAATCGTATTCACAAGACAAAAGATTTCAAAAATAACCCTAAAGGACAAGGGATGTAATATTTAAGTAATAGGCCATATTCATATTCTGGAACCAGCTTGCAATGGAGGCTTATGCGATTTGCATTTCAAAAGACTTACCGCATTAGCCTCGGTTGCAAGCTAGTTCCAGTCCAAAACCAAGAATACGAAAATGGTCCATTAGACTTAAGTTAGAGTTGAGGAAGTCTCTAAGTATCCTTAAAAAACCCATAAATGCGCACTCTGATTGGCTCAAAGCCATGTTTCTATCACAACACAAGTTCAAAAAAAAAATTGACTGAAGTAATTTCTAATGGATGAGAAAAACATTCGATTTACAAACACTTACAAGACACTGGGAAAACTAAATGCAGCCTAAGAGAAACTCCACACCGTTCTGTGCATTCTCTCAAACTTCCCCGACGCTCCTCTGTAACTTTAAAGAGACATGCTGCTCCTAAGGAAATTGGCTTTAAGTCCAGTTTTTCTCAGCCACTCGCCTATCTAACGTGAGATGACTGTAGCTCGACATCACTAAATGTATCACTGCCTGGGCAAATTGGTCTTATAAATGTGCAATAGTTCAGGCGGGAAGAATAGAGAAGGGCTGGCGGCAAATAACGTGACATGGACATTTGTGAAGCTTTTTTATCTTGCAGTGTCGGCCTCATCTCAGGTAAGGTTCAGTAGCTCTACTGTACACACTGAACGCCATCAGTTCAAGCCAGCGAAAACCAAACAAGTTATCGTTAAACAGCACAAAGTGGCCCGGTGTCCACTGAGGAGACATGAACCCATGACTAGCAATCTGTCCTCTGCCGTGATATCTAGGGACAAACAGGTTAAACAGGACACAAACAGGTTAACTAGCTGCCAAACGAAACGAGTTACTGGCGGGATTCAAGAAATTTAGTGTCAGACTTGGCGCACGGACCGCAAACCGTCCCTCCATTTTTCCTCAGGGATTAGTTTCTACAGAAACCGTTGTACTACGTCGGGGTCCAAGCTAAACAGTGGTTGATTCACTTGAAGTTGGTAAAGGTAAATACTCAGGATAGCGAATTTGGCAAATACATTTTAAGGTTTGACCCTTCGTTGGTGCTTTCCACGCGTACCGGTTCACAAGAAACGATACAGAAGTCGACCCAACAATACACTCCAGCTAACCACTTACTCTTAGCATTAATCACTTCAGCGGTAGAGGAGGACAAAGCCCCTTCGTTTTAGCAAAATGAAGATGAGCGAACACTCGAACAGTCAACTTTACCCCAAATTCTATAAGGCGGTTAATTAATCTTGATCAACTTCAGCTGATCATCAACTCTGACTACGTTTAAAGGGTCCGAAACTGCGCTTTCCTGGTCGCCAATACGACTAAAAATTTTGCACTGGCGACCAGAATTTCACAACTGGTCGCCAGCGAGCGATTAACTATTTCATGCCACGATAATTACACTAACAATAACTTTGATTTTCAGCCAAATCGATTAAAATAAAATTCAAAGCCGCCCGCCAATTGGTCACTTCCTTTTTACCTTTCCGCTGCTTTTGAAGTATAAAACCGATTTTCCTGTTATTATAAATCTACCACAACGTCTCACAGCGACGATCAGCGCGAAGCTTCGTTGCCATGTTTTTTCAGCGGTTTCCCATAACATACGTATTGCGGGTGCAAGACACCAAGTGCGTTCTTTCGCCATGAATATTTATCCAGGCGATGTGGTGTCCAAAGATGTTCTGAAATCTTTCCGCAATTTATTACAAGGTGGAGACGGAACATCGCGAAGAAATTAGATGAAGATTTAGATATTCTCTGGGCGTCAAAAGGTGGAAATGTAGATCTGTCAAAGTGGTCAAAAGATGATTTCAGCACTGGTTTGATTCCTGATTACATCGATTGCAAATGTTTTGCCGGCAAGCCCGTGGCGACCAAAAATTTTGGTTTGTGTTTCGCTGCAAAGTAAAAATTTTATTGCCACTTTTTGGCGACCACATTTCTCCATTTGGCGACTGAAAAAAAAAATTTCAGTCGCCAGTTGGCGCCTGCCGAAAAAAGTTAATTTCGGACCCTGGTTTAAGTTTTGTCCTCTTCCTGCACAAGGAAAAAATACGGGACTAACCGTGACAGTCTAAATTGAGAAAATTTGCTCCTCAGGAGAAGGACAAGTAAAGCAAGAAAGAGTTAACAAGAAAAAAACAACGTTAAGATTAGAACATTGAGCTAACAAAGAATTACCCACTAACGTATATTACAAGGAATCATACTGGGCAAACAAACGACTTACAGAAAGTAAACAGCTTTAGTAGTAATCATGCTAGCACAACAGAATACAAAGAGACAGGAGACCATGGCTTAAGACCAAGAGAACAAAGTGAACAAAGGGCTTAAAGATGACTAAGGAGCAAATACCAGCAATACCGTGTGCACAATGCATATCATGTCTATACCTGGCAAGGCAAACATTGGGATAATTGGTGTATCTGGCTTCATAGGCAGAGGGTAGGGTGAACTCTCGATCACGACACACGCCTAAATTTTGTTCTTGCTCCGCAGGCTCTAGGTCATCAGTGATAGGCCGTCTGAGGTCAACATCAAAGGTTATCTGACCTCCTGGCACATTAGGATCTCCCTACAGGTGAGTAGGTACATTGTTTGTTATTAGTGAACTAGCACATAATGGAGAATTTTTACCAACGCGTTCGACTAAAAAATTTTCTTCAGTTAAATAACCAACAGCACTCATGAGGAAAACCTACAGAAAACGTGCCTAAATTTTAATAAGAAAATTTCTCTCTGAATTGTACGACTCGAGGTCCAATTTCTTATCGTATCCATAACAAATTTCGAGATCATAAAGTCTTAACAACCTTATTTTGAGCGAATAAGTTAGTAGTGTTTCATAAGTTTTACAAATAGTGAGAAAACATGGATGGCCCAGGCGTCCAATTACCATTTGCAGATATCAAATTACACACAAGTTGTCATTGGATACCTGTAATTGGACACCCACATGATCGCGAGCCAATTACGTGACAAATAGGCTCGCTAAAAACCAATCAGAATCGAGAATTTTGTTATAGATACGATTAAATGAAAAATTCGGCCTGATTTGTTGCACCATGTTTGTTAGCGAACTTATAACTGCATACAAGTCTATTTTCAAAACTCAAGCAAAATAAAACAGCTTAAGCGGGATATTCAAGGAGTGATCTCGCTTGGCTTGCACGCATATAAACTAGGGGGGAAATAATTAGCTATGGACAAACAAACCTACAGAAAGATACGCTTCAAAATTAGTTAACCTTGAATAAAATCATAAAACTTTAAACAAGTACTATATTAAGATCTGACGTCCAAATCACGGTCATAATTATGGCTAACTTCGCATAAACTATAGCAGACGATGAAGTGAGCTACACTGAACATGCTATACAGTCTGTTTACTGTGGTCCATTAAAACGCACGACCAATGTATTGCTTTCCCGACCATTTCAATCCACCGTGTAACCATGTGAAGCTAAAATGTGATGCGTTCTGATCCTACACACTTTTAACAAAGGAAAACAGATACACACTCTGTGTTTCCAAACTGTAGATGAATACAGTTGAACAGATTAACCTTTCTAGAACAGTCACCCAAAGATTCCGCAGCGTGCAGTTCTCCGCTGTCTTTGACGCCAAAACTGCAGCTCAACATGTCAAATTTCCGAATTTCGCCAGTTTCAAGCCGAAAGTTACGTTTTGAACGCCGAATCAACATAGAGAATTTAATAATTGTTACATGCTCGCAATTCGATATACTACTTCTCGTTTTATTCGAATTCTTACAAAAGTCTTTCCCATTTTCGCTTCAAACTCTTAAAAACGTCGAGGTCACAAAAACCGAATAAGGCGTTGAATTTTTGCGCTAACCCGCTGTAAACCCGAAGACAGAATTACGTAAAAGTTGTAGAGCTGTAGGCGTTGTTGAGCGTTTTCAATAAAAGAAAAAGGTATCTAATTTATCGGTGTATAGGCTAGAAGATAATCCTGCCCGTTTTTAGCCTGCGTAGCCCCATCGTTTTCGAAGTGGTACCAATCAGGACAGTTTCAGAGGTAGTGCTCTTATAGGATTTGTTTGTAAACATTGCAACGCAACAACTGAAAACTTCTTAATGACAATACAAGCAAGAAAAACATTAAAAAGTTAAACAGCATACTGAGCAATGCAGCTACCAAGCTAACGAGCTGTCCATAAATATTTAAATTGAATATTTCTGTTCACATACCGTTATCTTCGTGCCTGTCATTTTATAGTCATCAACAGTAACCATGACCAATTCCACTCCGTGACTGCTGTAGGTACCCTGCAAAAAGTGACCATCAGCTAATGATAAGTGCTGTAGTGACACAATTACTTTGAAGACCCATTCTATTCAATCTATTTTGTTTCGCTCAGCCGAATAGAAAACATATCTGAGACAAGTAATACAACAAATAGTGAAGGGAGCCGCCAGCAATAATTGAGTTCATTTACAAGAATCTGAGACACACTGAATATAGGTTAAAAGCCAGAACATAAAAGAAAAGGTTACACGCTATTTTAAACAACGATATTTATAAAAAAAACAGCCTTGAGTTAACTGGTCGGCGTCAAGTGGTGTGATATTCACAAGGAGTGATATATAAAGGTCTAATAAAATTATCCCAATGGGAACTAATACAAAGCAACCTAATTAAACACCTAAAAGAAATACGTTACACTGTACATTGGGAGCAGGCCAGTTTATTCAGTTCACCTTAACCAGGGAAAGGACCCATTCTGACATATTAATTCTGACTAATGTAAGTGGCTTGTTCAACAATTCCAGTACCTTGAACACACCAGGAGTCATCACCAGGTCATTAGGGGAAGGCCGTTGAAGATTGAGGAGTTCAAACTGAAGTGGTTGTCTGGAATGAAGCATACAGACAGATAAACAAGATTGCCTTAATAATCAGTTATTCCATCTTATAATAATAAGATGGAATCCCATTCCAAATACATCTAGCTGCAACAAGTTCTTATCTGAACTAAATCAAGACAGTACAATCATTATGCATGTACATGAATTTGTGGTGCGACAATGAATTTTCAAACTCACTAATAATAATAAGTTGTTGAGTTTAAACAACACCATGACTACATTTGCACTTCATTTTCTCCATTTTCTCTTTAGTTTTAGTTTCAATTGTGAAGATCTATCAAACACTCAAGACAGTGTTTGACCACATTCCCAAAACCTTTAAGTTCATCAAAAATATTCAATTCTCTTCTCAGTGTTTGGAAATGTGGTCAAACATGGTCACAGTCTTTCGTGTTTGATAATTACATTAGAGCATTTTTCTATTGCGTGTCAAAAGTAATCAGGCAATTACTCTGGTTTTGGTTTTGGTTTTAATACAGTTCAAGATTGACTGACTAGTCTAACTGGTAAGTAACTGATTTGGTTTTCAAAAACCTTTTTGTTAACTACCATAGTTCACCTAGGTGTTCAAAGTAACCAAAGATTATTTATTAAAATGAATGAACGATTACCTGTGCAAGGAGTGCATAGTAACATATCTCATGAGAACAAGTTGCACCATGTGAGGTTGAAAAGATAGCAAGGTTTCGTTATTGTACTCTTCCTTCATCCACCTTCTCAAAACACCCATGCCCTACAAATGTCAATAAATAAAATAATACAGATTGGTCAAAGAGACTTCACTGTTTGATAAAGTGAATACAAAGAAATAAACACTTCAATTCACCAAGCATTTCAGCAGGTTCCACATCTCCAGAAAATCAGAATTCCGCAAGGTCAGCCAAGGGTTTATATTAAATAGAGCACAGGTGGGGAGGGGGGAGGGGGAGGGGTAATTCAGGCATACAGTACAATGCATTTTTACACCATTAAAATAAGGGTAAAATACCGTAAATCCTCAAATTAGCGCCCCCCTCGAACAAGCACCCCCTTCGAATAAGAGCCCTTCCTATCGGCCAAAATTTAAAATAAATGTCCCTGCCCCTCAAATAAGTGCCCCCCTCCCCTCCCCCCATTTTGTAGATGAGTAATGAGACAAAAAAGGATGTATAGTTTTTGTCATGTAGTATTAGATATGTACATTGTTTCAGTTTGTGAACACGTTAAGTCAACACGTTGAACACGTTAACTACTAACAGTGCCACAATTTAAACTTTAGGATCAGCTTTTTTTGTAACACGCAGATGATGTATTAAAAAAATGATCATGTCAGGCCACGATTTGGGAAAAATTTAATCAGCGCCCCCCTCAAATAAGCGCCCCCGTCTTCTCCTAAATTTGAAATAAGTGCCCGGGTGCCAATTCGAGGATTTACAGTATAGTTAAATGTAAACTTGGAATATTATCACAGTCTGATTTTGATTCTCTCATTGGTGTTCTTGGTGTTCTTTCAAAACCCCTGGACACAAATTAGTAACTCGAGATTCAAATAAATGAAAAAGAAAAACACTTTACTTCCTTGTAATATCGGGCAGTTCCAGAAAATTATACTTACCTATACCATGGACAACTGTTTGGAAATTTTGAGCACAAGGGGGAGAAGGGGGGTAAGGTTCTTTGCACTGGAAATTTTCTTATGATTGAAATTCAGAAGAAATGGGGGGTAGGGTATTTTGGAATTTCCAAAGGTAAGGGGGAAAAGGGTTAAAATATGGAAGCCGTCCATGGCTGGGTATGGATATTTTATGGAATTGCCCATTCAACGTTTGTTTGAAAAGTTAAGCCTGCAGTGATCCAATACATGAAGGAAGAAGCACAAAACAAGGCTGCAATGTCGTGACAAACCTCTTCTCTGTCTGAAGGGATTTCATGCTTTGAAGAGCTGTTGCACTCGATACAGAACTGACGTGGTTTTCCTTTAACGTCATCTCTTATCTGTCAGTGAAATTCAATGTCAAATAATTTTCAGAACTAAATTAACTCTACTAGGGGGAGTCTACAAATCAAACACAAACATACGTGTATGCTGCCCAGCCCCCTGGATGGGACACATGTTTCACTGAATCTCACAGCCCAGAAGGACTGGGATATTCTCGTGCGGAGCAAGGACAGTGAAGTGGTGAGGGCAGTTGCCTCCCACCTGTGTCACCTGGGTTTGAAACCTGGACCCGGCATCATAAGTGGGCCGAGTTTGTTGTTGGTTCTTGCCTTGCTCCAAAGATTTTTCTGTTTTCCTCCCTCCATAGAAACCAAGTGTCTGAACACTTCTAAATTCCATTCGATCTGGAAACAGAGGGTGAAGAGCCTCCCTGTGGGATGTGCCACAGACTGCAAATTCCTACTTGTTTTATTTTATTTATTTCATGAGCTTTGCCCATTGAATCTTGCCAGGGGGAAGGATCTGCTAACATCAACAAATAATTACTTTTCAAAGCTTAATAAGATTGCTGAACTTACTCTGAGGTTTCCACTGTGAGGATTTTCTTCCCAGTTGCTATAGCATAGAATCACTGGTTCTCCATCCTGGACCCCTATAGCGAACATAAGCTTTGGTCTTAATGCACTTGTGATATCAGGGTCGTATGGTGCACGACAATCAAAAGCCTCAATCCTTCCTGGAGAAACCTGGGAGAAGAAAATCAGAATAAATTACTACTGTACTGCTTTTTCTAAAATAATATTATTAATAAGTAATGAAGAATAAACAAAAGATGTTCTGAAACAAACGAATGACAACCATGTTGGCCTCAGAATTTCAGACAGTATTAGTAAAAATTCCGACACAACGTGCATCAATCATTAAAATCCAGAAAACATTTCATGAAAAGGCATGACTAGAACTATTAAATCAATTAACAATAAACTACTGACAACAACTATAATTTCACCTGTTAGCAATAACAATAAACAACTGACAATAATTATAATTTCACCTGTAAGTAACAACTGTCACAGAAGGAGATTGGAAAAAAATTTAACCGGGAGTCAGTGAAAAATCCTCTTGAACAAGAGTTTTTTTCGTTAATGTTAATAAAATAAATAAAAAATACTGAATAAACATGTAAATGAAAGTACCGGTATTAATTTTCCACTCAACAAATCAAAATTCAACAACCTTAATTTACAATTACATAATAACATGTTCAGTAACATCACCGTTATATGTAGCAAACCACCATAAGGATTTATGTTGCATTTCCATACACCAAGTAAGCAGCCAAACTTGTGTAGCACTTAACACAGAGAAATTGGGACAAAGATAGATAAGCATTAAGAGAAGACAATTATTATATAGCACCACAGCTTAAACAATAAAAATTACACATTCATAATTTCACATACGGTAAAATTCTGCTAATAAACCATGGGTTCATACAACTTCATAAGGAGTTTTTCTGGAAGGTTCCAGATAATTTTTTGATGCAGGGTGTCAATAAGCAATTCCAACGGGTCAATTCCCACTGTTCCCATCAAATCATTATAAATTTTCTTTTAATTTGTCAGGTCATGTAGCTGACCTTGTCAGGTTTTTAACCTGAGACCCCTCACTTATCTGGGACACTGTTTGGGTGGACTTATAATCAGAGCAGCTGTCATCCAGGGGGGCTNCCCCATTTAACATCTACTTTATAAGACAGTTTGTTGGTAATGTATATCATTTCAACTCATACAAGGCCAGGCTTACTACTTCACAGAACTTTTTGTTCAATGTTTGTTAAGGTCTTGTTTTTCTGTTTACCCCTTTTAACATGTACGTTTCATTTTCTCTTTTTCAGAAAAAGCATTTAATGTTGTTGGTGCTGAGGTTCTTGAGCAGTCAGACTCCAAGGCAGTTGCTGGAAAGAAAACAGGTGTTGTACTGCGTCATCCATCTGTACCATGTGTTTGGTCTGAAGTTACATTGAATATAAGACAAAAGGAGAGTCCCTCCTGAAACCTAGCCAAGATAAACATATTTCATATACAGCCTATTGTATGTAAGTAGGTCTCTGTGATGCAGGGTAATTAATATTAATATTGAATAGGAATTATATGTTGCTAAACAATATTTCCTCCACTGTTCTTCAATTTATTGGACATGTTCTTTTTCCTCTTAAGACACTCACAAAGCCTAGAAGCAGTTGAAAAGACAGAATTTTGTAGTTATGTGGCCATAACCATGCTGAATTTGACAAGTGTCAAGATCACACAAACTTACATTCCCAGCACTTGAATCGCTCATAATCAGGACCCTCTGATGCTAAAAAGTGAAAAAATAACATTTTCTATGACTTGTGTAATTTTTTTTTAGGCCAGCGTAAGAACAGTTTGATAATCCCGTTGGCAGTAGGACTCACCCTTCTCTTCCTGTTTGTTGTTCTTGTGATATTCCTGATCTGTAGACGTACACAAAGGTAAGATTTTCATTCACATCGGAACAAACAAAAGGTTGTGATTGTTGAGTCATTGAGGCAAACTAAATGGGCAGGGGTTTTTGCAAGTTGTAGGTTGAAAAATTAATTTGTAAGTTTGAGTAAGTCTACTTAACACTTTGGTTGGCCTGAATAGCACACCAGTTAGCCTAAATTGAATAGGTCAGGGATGCTCGATGGAAAATTGAAATCAAACCCATAAAGAAGATCAATCTGGTAGTGGCCAGAGCTTTATTTGACACCTAAAAGATAGACCTTAGAAATAGACAAGACAGCATTTTTGTATTATTGCCTTGAAATCAGCTAGAGCAACCCAAAAGATGTCTTCATGGCTACAATTAGTGTCCTTTTGTCCTGAACACCCTGGAGTGGTACCAAAATTTTGCACCCCAAGGGGGAATAAGAAGCATCCCAATCCTTTTCACTTGGGAGTCTCNCCCCCCCCCCCTCCTCACTGCCCTGCCATCTCCAGGCCTGAAAGTGTTATGTCAGTTTGGTGTTTATCCACTGATAATTTGCAATGCAAATAAATAAGTTAAAAATAATTTTTCTGTGCAAATAGTTTTGTCACTCTATAATGTGCAACTCTTTGTGTTCAAGATTGCGGAGTCTCTCATTTCCCCTTGTAATGGAGGATGATCTAGAGCTTGCTGAAATTGAGAACATGCAGGACATTGGCAAGGGAGATCAAGATTTAGGACAGAATAGGTTGGACATTGATGGTAATCGAGGACAGGTTAGTGATAAGTAAAAGTCAAAGATAATACTCCTGGACTGGGTTGTTTGAAAGCTGGTTAAGCCAAGTTGACTAACAACCACAGAAACCAGTTGAGGAAGTATTCTTCATAGTTCTTCATAGTACCTGAAAGCCAAGTTTCAATATTTTTTTTTCTCTCTTTCTCTTGTAGTTGACAATGGACAACCCATGGTATGAAAGTACAACAACTGTTGCAGAGTAGCAGATGACGACATTTTTAAGAAAATTTAGTGATCCTAGCTATAGCAAGTGATTTCACAAGCAGGATAGACTGTGGCATATAATTTTTTACCAGATGATTTTGTTATCACTGATTGAAAACAAATGTGTATTTATTTCAATGACTGAAGTATTGAGAAATCTTCTTTAATATGAAAGATGTTTAGAAGTGTATTTTGTAAAATTATGCATTAGATAATTAAATTATCTTAAAAGTAATAATAATAATAATAATCTATTATAATAAATTAAATAAATTATAATATTTAGAGAGGAAGCCACATCAGCCCTAGCTGGATTTTTGGTTTATTTGTTATGTTCAATGTAACCAACAGTACGGTCTGGTGCTTCTTTTATTAATTGTTGTAATAAATAACAATTTGAATGTTAGTTCTTATTTTACAATTTTTTTGGTTCACAAATTTAATGTTAATTTTTTTATTATCTTGAATTTCATTGCATCCACCTGCCTGTACATGTACAAACACAACCAGATTTCCTGTTTTTACCATTATTTAATACTCGCTCTTATGACATGAAAGATTAAAACACATTTTTATTTACACAATTGAACCCTGAAAATTCAAACTTATTTAATTCGAATGTCCCGTTATTTCGAACTCAAAACCATTTTCCTTGGATTTCCTCTTCAGTCATTTACTGTTGGCTATTGCGAACTCCCACCATTTCGAATTGAATTTTTTGAAACAGGTTATTTGCCAGCCTTGGTTGGTCTGCATTGGGAAAAACTGTGCCCTTGGTCTTGAGTACAGCCCAAGGCCATACAGTTTTTTCCCAATACGTACAGACCAAGGCTGGCAAATGACATATGTATCAGTGATGGTCAATCACCACTCAAAGAACTTGAGGCACAATGAAAGATGAAACTGTTATTTTTATTTCACACTCCAATCAAATTTTGAAACAACATTGATATGCATCAACGGTATTTGTAAACTGTGCTTTGGCATACATAGCATTACATCGGTGAAGTGACAGCAAAACTGAAGTGGACCATTCAACCCAGGGTAAAACACAGGAGCTTCTATCTCAGTCAGAGTCTTCATCCAACTCATCTATTCCTTTCTTGTGCTTTTTCATTGCCTCGCGGTGACGGCGAATAGCTTCTTCATGGTGTTCAATCTCCTTTTGGTGATGTTCTACCTGCTCTTTCAAGTGCTCTTTCATAGCCTTCAGCTGCTCTTGTTCCTGCATTTGACAAGAGATTTGTTAATACCAGAAGTTAAGGTAAAGTCTGCATACAAAGATTACAAATTGACTCATTTTGCTTTGGATGTGTGTTAATCATTTGAAGCCATTCTGTGTGACTAGAAATCATTTCTCAAACCCAAAAGACACACAGTAGAGATATGTAAATATCTCACTAACTTCATCTCAGTACAGGCTGTAAGTTACGGATCCTCATTTTTTTTCCCCTTCAATGGGAAAAACTTGGTCCATACTTNAGGAGTTTTTCTGGAAGGTTCCAGATAATTTTTTGATGCAGGGTGTCAATAAGCAATTCCAACGGGTCAATTCCCACTGTTCCCATCAAATCATTATAAATTTTCTTTTAATTTGTCAGGTCATGTAGCTGACCTTGTCAGGTTTTTAACCTGAGACCCCTCACTTATCTGGGACACTGTTTGGGTGGACTTATAATCAGAGCAGCTGTCATCCAGGGGGGCTTATAAGTGGTGTAAAAGGGTGTATTGAAATAAGCTAATGAAACCAACATTGAGTACGATAAAAAGATGTTTTATGCTCTTGGGAACAAGAAACACAAGGCAAATTAAGCAAGAAAACAAGTACACAGGGCACAAAGATCATTGTATGAATAAGTTTCATCATAATGGTAAATAACTGCTGAGAAGGTACACAAAGTAAAGGAGGGCTTATTTCCAGAACAACTGTTTTTTGGATACATAAAGAGGGGTCTATAACTGGAGTGGGGTGGGGTGGGGGGAGGGCTTATAAACAGGAAGTTATAGTTAGAATTTTACAATATCTGCAATAATTTGTAAATAAGCCATATGAATCAGTTGCTTGTAATACACCTGTCACATTGTCATAGAAATCACCCTGTAAAAAAGCATGTGGTGAATGCTGCACTTCTGTAACTCTGCAGCAAATTTAGAACTAATATGATTTGTTCTGATAAGCAGAACTGATCATGTGAACTTTTGATGATCAAATAAATTATTGATTTTCCTTTCTTTACATTTTGTAAATGTAGTGTTTCCTGAAAGAAAAAGATAACATAATCTATTAAATGTTTCTTTCTACAGTAGCTATGGAGTTCTATCATGAAATGGGGAAACACTCAACTTCAGATCACATTTTTACATAGCATTTCATGCTCCTCCAAACTTGTGTGTCCATGTTTTTTTTACTTAACAGGAACATGGAAAATGTTTCCTATTTATCAAATACATTGTCATATTTTTAAAAGTCCTTTATGGTTTGTTCTTTTATTTCATTATTTACCAACAACATGTAGGTCAACATTCCTCAAAGCACACAAAGCAAAAAACCTACCAATGATGTACAGTTCCCGAAATGAAGAAAGAGGCCACTGATCAAGAGATGACACACCATAATCTAAACACATAGTACAATAAAATTAACAGCCACCACGTGCTATAATCTTAAATTCATTGTCTAATTTTTATATACATGCATGATATTGCGAAGTTAAATAAGGTCATTTTAAGTAAATCAAATTCAGTGCTTTAATATTAACTGTGATCAACTCCACGTCTTCACTTGTAAATTTAGGCTAACTGCATACATTAATCCTGCAATCATTTCCACTTTTCGTGCGGAATATAATGCTTGATAAAGACACAACTGAAATCTACATGATACATAGATGTGGCAAAATCCACACCTTCCACGACAATAAAACTATCTACTTCAAAACCATGCTACAAAGTAGAAAGCATGCTTAGATTTTAAAAATTTTCTGGCTGAGGAGGATACCTGTTTCCAATGCCTACACTGTCTTTCATCTTCATTGCATTTTTTAAGGTCGGTTGGTAAGAGGTTAACATTTTGGTATAATAATACATACTGATGATGAAACCATGCAAACGTACAAGTTTGCATAAAAGCAAGAAGAAGTTCAAGAAATTCACTTCTTGTACATGCACAAGGATACAGTAGGACAATATTGATGGTAACAAGTTATCACTGAAACTGAAACTGAAACTGAAGCACAGTTAAAATGCATGTGAATACTGCTGTGTTCAGCTGAGAAAAGTTGCAGCCCAAAGAAATCATCCTTATATTATTTATGAGACTTAGTAAAGGGGTAAAAAGTTCCTATCAATGACAATAATACTCTCCTGTTGACATGAATAAACTATGAAGTTTTAGTCAGTGTATTATTAAAGCTTCCTATTGCATGTAAGCTCCATAAAGTTTTTTATGCAATTTTCACACTGAGACTATGCATCTGTCTGTGAATGGTGTCAAAACAGTCCAGTTCTTTACATGTATCTCAGTTTAGTTCAGTGCTGACAATGATGTTCACAAAACAACCGAGACTAACCACTTGTACAGTCACAAAGTTTCAGCCCCGGCAAAAATGTCTAAAAATTGTAGACATAATAATAAATATTTCCTCAACTCTGATTGCGTAATAAGGTTGAATTGAACCAGGGTTTCTTTTGCCCTCGCCTGTCTAGATGTGATTGACAACCTTCCACAACAAATGGAACCTTTCGTTCTATTTCGCTTGAAAAACAAGCAACGACAAGCAATATTTACCTCTTTCACACAGATGTTGCCAAATTTGGTCTATAAGAGAAGCATTACGGAATCTTTGGCACGTCTTTGCTACCGTACCAAGATCGAGACCATCTAGGTGCTTGAAAATCGAGGCCAGCACCTCGTTGGCGAGGTTGAAAATTTTTGCCATCTAAATCATCTTAAGCTCCCCAGTGAATCGGATAGGTAAATTCGAAACTGTTTTTGCTTGCGTCGACTGTAATATTTCTCTTCCGCCATAATTCTGAGAAAATACTTGAGATTACCCTCAATGCATTGCAGACCCATTCAGACTTCACTAGCTCCAGGACAACGCGAACCAAACATGACGCGTGAGATCGTAATAATAACTTTCATGACAAGATATTTGTGTCGTTCAGGATTGTAAGCTAAGACTGGATTTTTACCTCTATTCAGGCGTGTGATGTCACAACAAGGGGCAACATTGCAGACATACAACAACGAGCTAGTGAAATGTAAGTATTTCTATACATTCAAGCTCCAGGGAAGTTAGAAAACTTTGACATATGATGTCATGTCTGCCGCCATGTTGTTCATGAAAAGAGTGATTTTCTTCTTAATAATTTGCGTCTATTCTCTGACATCAAGGTATAGAAGATCTCTGTACGAAGAGAGATGAACTCCAGAAACAAATACTCAACGAGGAGGAAGAGAAAGGAAAAATTCAGAATGACATTCGTATCCTCAGCGAGAGGTTGGCAAAAATCAACGAAAGCCTGGCCAAAAAGATAGCATCCAGAAACGAGTATGACAAAACAATCGCCGAAACAGAAGCAGCTTACATGAAGGTTAGCCTAATCTTCACTGCACAGAAATCACCTGGCCGTGTGTGCTGTTATAATCCTTTTTGACCAACAAGCTTAATATCGATTTTACCACCCTGGGCCATGGGCAATTAATTTGGTGCTTTGGAATTTAGATCATTGAATGCTGGCTTCTTTTCATTGACTAATGTTTGCTATTTGATATACTGATTATCCACCATTAGGCCTTTTGTGACCATTTGATGCCTCTGGGTGGAGGTGGGGTGGGAAGGTAAGTTGTGTGGGAAGGGTGACAGGTGTTCAAGAGTGTGTGAATATTGCTAATCAGCACATGATTTGAGTTGCTACTTGCCTTTCAATTTAATTTTCTCTGATAGTAACTATAGACATTAGTGCATTGTAGAACAAGGTATTAGGATGACAAACATTGATTCCTGGCCAGGGGGTTAGGACAATGGGTACATGTATACCTTAAGGTTATGGTATACCCACCTTTAGAGTTGTCGTTTCCAAGCAATGAAGAGCATCTGGTTTAACTGTAGATACCTAAACCCCCATATCAAATTAAAGCTTGTATAGCTGGCCATTAAACTATACCAAGAATTTTGAAATAAAAAGAATTGTCAAATTTTTCACGACCTCTTAATGCAAGGGTCCAAATCGCCTTTTGAATGCTTGAAATGGGGGTTTTGGTATCTACAGTATAAACCGGACACACGAATTCCTTGGAAGTGAAACACCTTTAAGGGTGTAGGGTAGCCTTAAATGAAGACAGGCAGTCCGTCATATTTGATAAACATAATATTTGTTGTAATTTACAGAGTTCCCATTAATGCACAGGTGTGCGATCAAACTTTGTTCTGGTTGCAGATTCTTGAAAGTTCTCAAACTCTTCTTCACGTTTTAAAGAAAGAGACAGGAAAAGACAAGCCCCAGCCAAGTCATAGTCAAGGGTCTGTGCGTGATAAAACTGGAACACAAACAACATAAACGTGTTCTTGGTGAATGATCCTTACTATTAATGTAAAGACAGTTATTGGAAAGTAAATTTTGTAGCACTCATTGTACATCTGTTGTTTTCTGCAAATAAACACTATCACCAACCAACATGTACAAATATTCATAACGTGAGAGCGTCAAAATAATCAGTTTTCATTACCTTAAACATTGTAACTTGTGTGGATTTCATTAACATACAAAGTCTGCTTGTTTGTAGGTAAATGAACAATAGCCTACATTTGACATGAAAATATGCTTGGTTAGTTGAGCATATCTGAGCATACATTTATTTTTAAAGTCAAATGGGGGCTATTATTCAGGGCTGTCATTAAGTTTTGACTCGCCCGATAGTCTTCATCTTCACATCCATGACAAATATATTACTTCATGGGTGAATTGTTTCAACTACAGCCAAGGTCACCGGTTATGACAAGGGCTGATCAAGCATGCTCAGCTGTAACAGGTACTATGGGTTATAGCCCCTATTGACATCCCTGCATTGTATTGCATTTATTATTTTTCAAAAATGTTTTAGCGTTACCCAAAATATTGGGGAACATCACTCAGAAATTCCCAATTCTACAGTAGCTGTGACGTGTTTAGCCCAATCATGTGCATTTGATGGATTATAAAAGGCAATATTTACACCTATCCATGAAAATCAGAAAAGACTTCTTCAATATCTCTGCCTTCTTATCATTAGAAATATTCAAATTAATAATTATTATAGCAACAAATTTGTACAATGTTTGTCAGATAAGTTGCATATACACAATAAAGACACAGATTCCTTCTGATTGCCATCAAATGTTTAATGAATTTATGTGACAATCTGCACAAACACTGTGGCTTATCAAGCATTGTATTTTTGGCAAAACCAGGTTTTCCAAAGCCATATTTTTTGTGGGTGCTTTACATGACCAATGGGTTCCATGTGAGGAAAATCATTGCCTTAAACTTGACCCAACATATTGGACAGAATGTTGTGAGGTACAATGTAAATCAAATTAACATTTTACTGGGTTTCTTTTTTCTACTTTTACTACTAATAATTTTTATAGAAGCCACCCAAAAAAATCAGTAAATAACTGTTAGTATGTAATTTTACACTGTTGACAGTATGTGATTATTTTGTTTTTATTTTAAACTCAAAACTTTGTTGGTTGTATGGCTTGTCCAATTAATAAAACAAATATCTCAAACATGATTTCCAGTCCGTACTGCATAGTCTTAGCATCTTAATGTTTATAAACATTATAAATCTCACTTGATGGAATGCAAATCAATGTTATTTGTTACGAACCACATACCTCATCTTTGAGGACTTTCAAATTCTTTTTCCAACAGCTTCACTGATTTTTACAGCTGTGAAGTTGTTTCATCAAGTGCTATGAGAAGGAATGAAGCATAAAGCTTCAACCCCTTCGCATCCATAATGGCGGTTGTTTTGAAACTTTGAATGTTTACATTTTGTGATGTCTTACATGAAACAAAACAAAAAACACAAACAAGTCTCAAGAGTGTGCCGTACCGACTGGAAATCATCTTAATAACAATAAAACACTCTATAGTGTACACCATCCACTAGTTGTCTAGATGTGTATGCTTGACAAAATCGTACAAAAAGATGGATATATATAACATCAATCCTGATAATAAATTAGATGGCTATTCACTAAGCACCCAGGATGTCATGGTTAGGAACTTTTGGGCTCCTTGTAATTTTTCTTAAACCACATCCTTGAAACATGTTAAAAATATTAACCTCTTACTAACCCAGTACAAGGGCTGTACTAAGGAATATTGGCCCAAGGTCGTGCCAGTTTAAACCAACTGCCGCACAGTCTGTAAAAAAACAAACAAGGGCCAATATTCCACAGTAAAGCTCAAGCAAGCTAGCCAAAGTTAGTAAGTAGATAATAGTACATAACTAAGTAGCCACACAGGCCCTGAATTTACTGGCTTTGGAAAGCGAAAAATACACGGCTCATGACATGGAAACGGTCTGAAAGGCAAAAATACCAACCAAGAAAGAACCAATCAAAACACTCAGATTTACCTCAAGACTGCTTTGCTATATAATAAAGTATTAAAATGAAGCATCTTGGCCACTATCCAGCCATCTTGACCTCATGCTTGGTCAGCAACCCATATCTTTAAGTTTTTTGACAGATTATACAGTGTAAGGTAAAAGGAAAAGTGTCAGGCAATGTGGTCCACACTACCAGAGTTTATCCCAGTTTGCATCGCATAAATTGACTGGGAGTATTTCGTACTTCCTCATGGGTGGGATCCCAGTCCTTTGCAGGGTTACCCCCCAGCATTAACTCCTCTAGTACCCATTTATGCACCTGGATGGAGAGACGTAATGGGACAATTTCAAGTGTCTCACCCAAAAACTCAATAAAATGATCTCGAACCAGGATCGCCTGATATCAAGTCAAGTCAAGTCTGCCAAGCTAACCATAGGGCCACATCCAAGTGACAACCTAAGTCAACTTAGGTTCCAAAACAAGATTTCAATCCAAAAGCAATCAGTTCCCCAGCTGAACAAAAATTCAATTGAATATTAAAATAGCATCTAGCAGAAGCGTCTGTCATCTTCCATGTTTGCCTCTTCCTCTGCTATATCTTTCTTCCTTTTTGTAAGGGTGAGATCTTGCTCGCTCACTCTGAACAAGGAGGGGATGTTTTCCTTGTGAAGACATTTTATTGTCACATCCACTTTCCATTAGTTTGAGCTTGCTCTCAATTGCTCTTATTTTGGATTCACAGCTGAAGGCAAAGAGAACCTCATGTCAGCAAAAATATATGTGTATATAACACTGCATATTTTATTCTTCACTCTCCAAGGATCAAAGGAGTGTATCTACCTCATTTTGTCACTTTGATCAATTTTACAAATGAACCCAAAGACAATGAAGATCAGAGAGTTTAAAGGAAGGCGAAGAATGATAATCACAGTAAATTTTCCAATTTAAGCAATTGGAAAGAAGAA